GGATGCATCCATGCAGGTCTAGTGGAATCAAGTGACGGGAGTATAATATACGGACCAGTCCCTACTGAGGTCTAGTGGACTCAAGTGACGGGAGTATATATAATATAAGGACCAGTCCCTACTAATTTCTAACGAAAGTAAGTGAAGGGGTATGGTGTACGGACCAGTTCCTACTGATTTCTTGTGAAAGCAAGTGAAGGGGTTTGGTGTACGAGCCAGTCCCCACTGATTTCTAGTGAAAGCAAGCGAAGGGTATAGTGTACGGACCAGTGCCTACTGATTTCTGGCGAAAGCAAGCGAAGGGTAAAAAGTGTACAGACCAATCCCTACTGACATATGGCGGGAGCAAGCGAATGGTTCATAGATGCTTCATAGTGTACGAACCAGTTAGTACTGATATCTGGCGAAAGCAAGGGGCGAAGGGTTTATAGTGTACAGACCAATCCCTACTGAAATATGACGAAAGCAGGCGAAAGGTTTATAGTGTAAGCAAGCGAAGACATTTGGCGTAAGCAAGCGAAGGGTGTATTGTATAAGGACCAATCCCTACTGATTTATGGCGAACTCAATTGAAGGGTATATAGTATACGGAACAATCTTTACTTATTTATGGCTAAAGCAAGCGAAGAGAGCATAGTTTCCAACTTATTTTTATAGTTTATGTTCATATTATGCTGCTACACTACTGTCCCATGTGGTTGAGCGCTCATACACTTGATTATCCCGGCACATTCTTTATGTGCCTGTCCCAAGTCAGGAGCCTGTAATTCAGTGGTTGTCGATGGATGATGTCTGTCATATGTGTTTTTCGTTAATTGTTTGTCATAAATCAGGCCGTTGGTTTCTCGTTTGAATTGTCTCTTATTTTCCGATATCTGACTATGCTGCATGGGTTTTGGTTATTGTTGTAGCCCGTGTATATAGTTGCTTACATTAACGTCTTTATGGTGGATAGTTGCCTCATTGTCAATCATAACACATTGATATAGTATTTCCTACATAGTGTATGAATAAGTCCCTTCTTGTGAAAGTTGAAGAATGAAGTGTAGTGTACGTATTTGCAAGTTAGAGAGTCACCATTGACCACCTCAAAAGTAAGTTAAAGTTTTCCAACAATAAGCATCATTGCTTAGAAAATACAACATAAAACATATTCTTCGAAAGATATCTACATCTCGCTTCTAAATAGATATTATGAGAAAGCAATAGGATTTCAAAAAATGGGACATAATTCTAAATTTAGATAATAATACAAGGAAAAGAGAACAAATGTTGTACTTTATCTTTAACTATATCCAAGATAATAAATTGAGAATGTTAAGATGGAAATTTCTACATTACATTTTACCAAACAAACAATTACTTTTCTCTTGGAAAATAACTAAAACTCCTTTATGTAATATATGTAATGTCATTGAAGATTATGAACATTACTTCCTGACATGCAAATATCTGAAATCATTTTGGGATCAAATAAAACTAATACTAGACAAACTTAAAATAGGACATCATATAATATCACTTGCATCACTTTTGTATGGATACAAGATAAACGATACAAATTATTACAATATCAACGACTTTCTAACAACCATACTTTTTACTATATATAAAGTATATTATATATCCGAGCAGAAAACAAAACAAATTAATGTGTTTGAAATTTTTAAAATGAACTTCTCCAACATTACGAAATATTGACAAATAAACAAGGCAAATATAAAAACTTCTACAATTTGGTTGCAGAAAAAATTAATTTATCTTCTTAACTAAGATTTATAATATATCATATAAATTTCTTTTTATTCTGTTACACATTATTTATTAGCAAAACTGTATATTGTGTACTAACAAGTACTAACCTATATCACTGAAATGCTATATACTAACGTTAACGAGGCCGGGGTAAGGTACCGGTACTTTATGTATCTCTAACAAATGTACATTTCAAATAAAATTATATAGAATTTAATCAAAAAAAAAAAAAAAAAAAAAAAAAAAAAAAACATTATGTGTGTAAGTGTGACATACAAACAATAAGGGGTGTTATTAATTACTTGTATTGACGAGATTGATGTTCTAGTTCTTCAGTTTCCGAGTTAAATATTTAAAAATTGGATAGCTTAAAAAATTGGGTTTATGCCAAAAATCTAAATGATATTAAATGCAAAAAAGTTAACAATTAAAATTAAATTGTACATCATAACCATAAGAGAGTGTTGTTTCCATAGGAACCACAAACTAGCCAGCATTTTATGTCCACAAAACGAACACGAGACTTACTTGTAATCTCTTTAAAACAACAGAGGATAAGAATAGAATCTTCAACATTATATAATGTTGTGCATGTTTCTGTTAACGTTACAGTTCACTTAGAAATTATATGCATCATAGTAGCGGGGAAAAGAAGGGATTCTTGTGGTAGGTATGAACAGGAAAACATTGGGGACGATTCCACCTTCTTTTTCTTTTTTCTAGGGATGAAAAGGAAGGAAATTAGATACCTTTCAGATATCTTGAAAACATTCAATCTCGAAAATGTTGTCTAAATGTTTGTATTATTTGTGTATTTCGGGATGAGATTGTCGGACTACTTATGACAGTATTTGTATCGTATATATTAACTGTCAGTTGTGTTGTGAGATCGCCATCTAGTGGACAAATCTGTTCAGTCCGGTACAAGGAGCGGTCATCATTTTGCAGTGAGAAATGACCTTTCTCCATATTTAAGGCCTCACTCTGAGCTTTAGACGAAGAACATCAATAAAATCACTGCACCTTTGCTTGGATTTGCCAATTGACAATTTGTATGAACCGATGTTGTGTCATGACATATCTTTTCCCACTCATTATTATTATATTTTCTGACCCGGCCCTAAACCAGGGGCGTAGCTACCTTCTTAATGAAGTGGAATCACAAACTACAGGGCGAGGGGTCTGGGGGAAGCCTAAGGCCCCCCAGTAGGTTCAGGGCAAAGCCCTGGTAGGGGGCCAAGGGGGGGGGGCGAAGCCCCCCGGAAGCTCCGCATATATAGCGTTTCAAAACAATCACAACCGAAATAAAACTTGAACATTTTTGTTGTGGTTTTTTGGTCAACTATTTGTTTAACTTCGAGTCGAATGAAGACTTAACATAGTCGCTTGCGTTTTTTGTACGTGAAAGCTTTTAAAATCACGGAGATTTGTTCCATATGCTAGTAGTTGTATTGAGCAAAGTAGATTTAAAAAAACAAACAATAAACATAAACACAATACTATATGCGGAGTTTCTGTTAGCATAAACATCATGGATACCAAATACTTGGTTGACACATTCTCATATATTTTGCTTAACATATGTATTTAGATATTTAAAAATTTTGTGGGTAAACTCTACAAGAGAGAGATGGGAATTTCGAATTTTACGTAGTTAGGAATATTCGAAGTTGAAATTAATGAACTTTTTCAGAGTAAATGGTACTTTGATCACGATCTTTTTCATGATCTGCGTTTTTAATTAGCCAGCTAATTAACGAATGCATATGCATTCGACCAGTTGTATGGCAATATCTAGATGATAACAGTGAAGATACGTGTAATAAAAGTTTGGTGTATCTTTCGAACAAGAATCAGCAGTTTAGTGTCCTACTCGGACAGACAGTTCTTTTTAAAATTAAATGACCTAATAGTCCAGTAAAACGAGTTAGAATTAACAATTTATTTAAATGGTTTTACATTCAACCATTCGTATAGTCGGCCCATATAGAAACGACTTCGAATTATCCGCGGAATCTATTTAAAAGATTTTTTTTTTGTAAAATAGATAAAAACGTAAAACATGTACTTGAAAATGTGTACTTTTTTTTATAATAACAGCAGTTCCAACTTCTCATCTTCTAGTATACAGAAACTATTGATTGATTGAATGGTTATTAATGTCCGGTAGCAAATATTACATGCACACAGGACGAGATACGTTGACGTGATGTGAAAATGAACTACTCGTGTTTTCAAGACCTACATACTTAGTCAATATTGAACTAGTTCACAAGGTAACAGTCATTATTCCCGGATCGATACGAGTTGAAGATTCTTCATTCTAGTAAGATGTGTGCTTTGGGGCGAAGCGGAAAATAATAATTTTCAAGTGTTTTTGTTAAACCTAAAGGGATTATGTTTTTTTTTGCACTCAAAGCGAGTATACCGTATGGTTGTGGTACCAACAACTATGTAGCTGGTATTTTCTAAACAATGCCCGTAATATAAAAAGTTCCTCTAAGTTTACACCAGTTGTATGTATTTATCGTACACATACATGTCTTACAGGATTAAAAATTCCGCTGCATGTGTATTCCTCTTGCTTTTATTCTTTGTGTAGTTTTTAAAATGCATACATAGAAAGACCAATTCCTATATGTTAACTTTGTCCCTCTCTCTCTCTCTCTGTCTCTCTCTCTCTCTCTTTTTTTTTTGTTTTTGTTGTGAAAACGACGTGGATGCACGTGCTGCCGTGCCTCCGGGTAGCTACGCCCCTGTAAACTAACAAATGCTTGAAGCCACATCAATCTAACTTGATCATATAAATGAACGAAATGAAAAATCAAATTGACAAATATTTGATTAATTAATGAGTGTTCACATGTTTCGGTTTATTTATAGAAATATACTTGTAACATCTTTAGCTATGTAAATTATGCGAATCATTTTATATCTGGTTTCAATAAGTACTTTGCACTGAACGTTTTCATAAATAAACGAAATTTAAAAAGTGATCTATCCAATCGGCTCATCCCTAAAATTCAGATGCAGGCAGTGGCTCTCGGGAGCACCCAGTCAATATTTTTACCCGCTACGTATATGTACTATAAACACTTCGAGCATTATATCACAAAAATATTGTTAAATAATAAAAGTGATACAATGATTTAACATTAATACATTTCAGTAAAATAGTTTTCTTTTAATAAAAAATAGAAATGTATCAAAAAGTTAATAAAATAAATGAGTAAAACTTGTCTTACCTATAGCTTTCATGTAATCTTCAAATCCAGTACTGTTATCAATCTGCCAAGTTCCACTAAATTGTGCCATCCTCCTCTCAGAACTTATCCCGTCCTTCTATTAATCTACGGAAAAATTTTATTCATATGACTTAATTCTTAAATGGCATGCCAAAAAATGAGGTATCGATTTTTGACCGACTTTTATTTACAGATGTTGAATGGTCTTATTGATATTTTAAATCATCTGTTTTGAACACAAACATGAGAAATAAATGTACAGGTTAATATTGATTGATAAAAACAGGAAATTCTTACAATTTATTTTTACTACCGGACATTGAACATCATACTGGTTGATAAATCTATCTTTATAGCATGCCATTTATTTGCCAGTCGTCTTAAAATATGTTTACTGTAATAATGCTTCAATGCTACATTCCACCGTTTACTGAATGCCATTTGATATAACGAACATTCTACGAAAACTGCTGATTAAGTATGTACTTATGCTTACATTTGAGTAATACAAAGTGTCGGCAATACATTTACAATCAATTAGCAATTGATATTGAGACCGTACATGTACTCTCGACTTTAATGTAACTTTATTCCTTGCATCAGGAGTTATTGATGCTGAGGAGGGTAGGAATGTCAACTATCATGGGTTGACTGTGGTATATGGTAATACATGGACTTCTCCAGTATCCGGCATTAGAACCCTTGTTAAAGTGGGGCGTCTGTGTGGCTGTTCGGGGAGAATAAAAACACAGCAATGTCCAGACAAAATAGAATCGTTAAATCCTATGGCTCGAGTAGGGTGGGTACCACACACTGGTATGCATGTTAAAGATTTTGTTAAATAATGATGCTAAAATGAAATTTATTCTCTGCCCATCGACACAAAAACAAGTAGAAAATATAGGTACCTTTATAAAGCAGTCATTAGTACTAAGGTAAGGCCTCATAATTACATTATAACCTATTCTATTTTATATAATTGTATTAATTAGTTTGTTTATTATAATTGTACATGCTAATTCCTTCTTGTCATTTATATTATACTATGTTTTGTTTGTTTAAGTCACAAATCATATAAGTTGATTTATATGACAATAAAGTTTGAATTGTTAAAGAACCCTTGTAGTAATTCTCATAGACTTCCGTGTACGGCATATTGCAAGGGAAAACATTTCTGTCCATTTCAAGAATAATTAATAACTCATACCGTATAGTGTCTTGAACCCATGCAGTATAGTGTGTTGAACCCATGCAGTATAGTGTGGTGAACCCATACCGTATAGTGTGGTGAACCCATACCGTATAGTGTGGTGAACCCATACCGTATAGTGTGTTGAACCCATACCATATAGTGTGGTGAACCCATACCGTATAGTCAGCCACAAAAGGCTCCGATTTGAAAAATGCGAAACAATCTTAGAGAACTCTTGAAGAACCTACCTATTGTAATAATAATTAATTTTTCTCGTCCTTACGGATAATGCATGAAATAATTGCTACTGGACGTTAAACCTCCTATAATCAATCAATCAATACTTTTAGGGTTACGTAAAATTAATTATCATAAAAAATACTGTCACTTTTTCATATCCTATAATTTAAGCTATCATAAGCGTCAACAGGAGTATGTTCCCCGTTAATGATCTTTAAACAAAATATCATATTAATATAAACATAATATATAAACTTATCTGATATCCAATTCCCAACCTCGTAAATGTATGTACTCATTGGATAAAGGTGCTGAACAAGTAATTGTGCTTGCTCCTTTTTATTCATCAGCTTCTTGTTCTTTTCCTTGAACGTATGACAGAATCGGACGGCACTTCGTTTACAGAAGTAGCTATTTTTTGTCATTGTCAGTAAACAGAATCAGATGTTATTTCGTGTGGATATAAAAATAAGGAGATATGGTATGATTGCCAATGAGACAACTATTCACCATAGTCAGTCAGTAGTTCTTTCGCATATAAATTCTTTTGTCATTGTCAATAACATAATTAGAGGTTATTCCGCGTTTAAGTTCTTTTGTCATTGTCAGTAACATAATCTGTAGTTCTTTCGCGTATCACTTCTTTTGTCATTGTCAGTAACATAATCAGAGATTATTCCGCGTTTAAGTTCTTTTGTCATTGTCAGTAACACAATCAGTAATTCTTTGGCGTATAAATTCTTTTGTCATTGTCAGTAACATAATTAGAGATTATTCCGCGTATAAGCTCTTTTTGTCATTGTCAGTAACACAATCAGTAGTTCTTTCGCGTATAAATTATTTTGTCATTGTCAATAACATAATCAGAGGTTATTCCGCGTATAAGTTCTTTTTCATTTTCAGATTAGATTTTAATCCTGGTATCTATGACGATTACACATTTATTGGGGAATAATGGCGAGCGAGAATGAGAGAGAGAGAGAGAGAGAGAGAGAGAGAGAGAGAGAGAGAGAGAGAGAGAGAGAGAGACGTAGTCTTTGACGTCCACCCATAAGGACCGGAAAGGAGTATTGCTCATGTGTGACTGAATGAAAGTCGCCATCTTGGAGGGGATGACTGTGCATTCGCGGATTGAAGTCGTGATTTCCCGCCATTTTTGTTTAAAGGAGTGGACTTTCTTTTTCCTGCTATTTTTCGTTCAAACCTCGGGTGGGTAGGTAAGGTGAAATTAGAAAAAAAAAGAGATTGAATTGAACCCTATTTGTTTCTTGACTATGATTGATAATTTTAGATAGGTACATTTTAACTTCTTGAGTTCACGAACTTTTTTCAATTGTCTACAAACTTTATCATATTTCATGAACGTTAAACTGCAATATTACCCAAAGTTTCTCCAGGCTTTATGTTATCAGAAAAGTTGTCGGAAAACATGAAGTAGAACTTTAAAAGGACATAAGCAACGAGTTAGACAAAACTTTTAAATACAATTCTTTTCGCTTCAAGTATTCATGAAAGGGGAATTTTGTAGTAATATTTCGTTATAAGCAGTTAGTTTGGCCCTGATTTGTAATAATAAAGCCCAAAATCATCGCTGATGTATTATTCACTTGCATGTGAATAATTCGACCTTATGTGAATCCGTATTCATGTGAACTTCAATCTAACCCCTTAGCTGGAGCTGGGTTACGCATGTAATAGGCGTGTTCGGGTATTATAAGGAAAAGAATGTCAACATTGAAAGTTAAACAAGTTTAAACATTTCGTTGACTGATGCGATCAACAAAAAATCGTTCTTATACAGGTAAAAACGATGATTAACATATTGTATTAACCTATAACATGACATCAAACAGACCTAGCTGCTGATATATATTTTCGAGTCATTGCATTGTCGATTGTTTTTTTTTGTAGATTTTTGTATTTTTGAAATACGTTTTAGTATGTTATACATCAAATATGAGAATTTTAGTCAAATCGGTGAACATGAATTTGACAGCTAATGTCCCTTTAAACACCTTTTGACAGCTAATGTCCCTTTAGACACATTTTAACAGCTAATGCCCCTTTAAACACCTTTTGACAGCTAATGCCCCTTTAAACACCTTTTGACAGCTAATGCCCCTTTAAACACAGTTTGACAGCTAATGCCCCTTTAAACACCTTTGACAGCTAATGCCCCTTTAAACACCTTTCGACAGCTAATGTCCCTTTAAAAACCTTTTGACAGCTAATGTACCTTTAAACACTTTTTGACAGCTAATGCTCCTTTAAACACCTTTTAACAGCTAATGTCCCTTTAAACACCTTTTGACAGCTAATGTCCCTTTAAACACCTTTTGACAGCTAATGTCCCTTTAATCACCTTTTGACAGCTTATGTCCCTTTAAACACCTTTTGACAGCTAATGCCCCTTTGAACACCTGTGTAAACGTTATAGTTATGCTTGTTATGTAGTTAAGAATAAACGTTTGAAATCCTTTACCATTCAGCGGAAGTCGTTAAGACTTTATTTTTTAACAGTTCCATTTTTAATTCTATAGGAAGTTAATCTAATTGCTTAAAACTTGAGTGGTCACGAATTGAATCTTAAAGTCAATATTGTGTTTGGAATTCAGGATTTGCTATTTATGTTTTAGTATTATTGCGTCAATGAAGACATGTGGCTCTTTAATTCATTATCAGAATTGATTTTTTGATGTTTCATACTGTTTGATTTTTATAAAAATAAGAAGATGAGGTATGATTGCCAATTAGACAACTATCCACTAAAGTTCAAATAAAGTGAATGTAAGCAATTATAGGCAACCGTACGGCCTTCAACAATGAGAAAAACTCATACCGTATAGTCGGCTATAAAAGGCCCCGACATGAATTTGAAAAAATATGAAACAATTCAATTGAGAAAACTAACAGCCTAATGTATAACCAAACAATTAACGAAAAACAAATATGACAGACATGAACCAACGACAACCACTGAACTACAGGCTCCTGACTTGGGACAGGCACATTAAGAATGTGTCGGGGTTAAACATGTTTGTGAGCGCTCAACCCTCCCCCTAACCTGGGACAGTGGTGTAACAGCACAACATAAGAACAAACTATAAAAAATCAGTTGAAAAAGGCTTAGCTCATCAGATCGATGCAAAGCATAAAAACATCAAACATAAACACAGACCGGACGAGGCAGGGTATTTATCCATCCCTCATCCCTAAAAACAAAAAGGACACTTAGTACATATCTGATGGCACTCGCAGTTACTGAGAGCTAGTTCAAAGCCAATAACAACCAATAAAAAGAATCATATGTATCTAAGACTAAAATATCAATCAGTACATATCCAACATCCAATGGATTTAGTTCACTCACCCATTTTTTTTTATAAAGAAAGCCAATTTATCCCCACCCTGAATCGCTCGGCTGATAAAGATATGTCATTATAAAATAATAATTTTTTCTTTTATTGGTATCAGTTATGTTATTTTCGTAGATCTTATAATGGTGATCATTTTTGCAGTGGGTTTGTACTAGTGTTGTCATATTGAACAGTTTTGCCTAACCGGTAATCTGTCGACCGATTAACCGGTTAGCCGGTTTATTAAAGTTGAGGTTGTAAAGATCTACAGTACACTACAAACGGACTGTTTTATGATACGACAAAAGTTTATTCGGGCATTTGAATGCTTGGCTTTGAACATTCGTGGTGACATTTTACTTTAAATAA